GCCACACTCACTCTCTGAGGAATCGGGAGACCTTTGACTCCTGTCCAAGGCAGGCCTGCTCTCGGAGCTGCTCCACCATCTTCTTGGCCTCGCGACTGTTCCTGGCCTGCAGCAGTCTTCACGCTGTAGAACGGCACACACCACATACATCGTGTGATATATAACACGGGCACTTGTCTTGCTGGTAGCCTTTTTCTTTCTGGGTATTTGAGGTTAGCTCGCCGCATTTTATCAAAACAAACATGACCTGAACCCATCTTCGGATACGTTACTAATAACTAAAACACTCTCCTGATTTGTGTAGGCCCAGCCACTACAGAGACCCTACACAACGAAAGCGAACCACATACGTAAACCGTACGACGAATTCGATTGTAGAAGGTCGACTAGAGCAACCGAGAGGGAGACCCAACACGATAATACTGTCACATGTACAGGATCGCGTGAGACGGCGACACCCCAATTCCCCGCGCTAAGGTCCTTATGAGCGCCTAGTGGGATCTAACCAAAAAGGCCACGATCTCTCCGTTCTATATGACACACGCCCTGTTATTCCATAACTAACCACCCCAATACCCACCTACCTGAACCTCCTCGTAAAACGACAGCCTCACGTTCTGTCGTGTGTTGTGTGGTGGGCATGATCCCTGAGGAGACTAACGCTGCAGATCGCCAACGAGGAGAGCGGACCAATTCCTGAAGGAATACAAGCTGGCTCGTATGGGAAGTGACGTCGCTAGAGACCTAGCGCTGCACGGGCTCATAATATTCCCCAATCCCCACTTCGACACGCTTTTACATGACCCCTGTGGGCATAGAGCTGGCCACTGTTCAGTTTGCGAGGGTTTTCGATAGACGCGGTGACGGTATGCGAGGCGGGTCGGACCCCGTCGCGTAGGCATCAACCACAACCGGGTATATAATCAGCGTGGAACCCCTCCCGTACAGAGCTCCATTACCTCGTGAGCCCCTCTAGCTCTCCTGTGCTGTGCGTCGAATCAGGCCACTGGGGTATGCTCATTCCAGGCTATTTGCTACTGCTGTGGTGTTACTTCCTGTTGTGAGCTAGTGGGGTAAGGTGAGTCCCTTGCCTCTCGTAGCGAGCGTAGGAGACGACTGACAGCTTTGCTAGAGGCGATGCTCGCACGCGCGCCTTAGCTGTTTGCAATTGTTTTTGCACGCAGGCTATGCACTGCTTGTGCAGCTTGTAATGGTGCTAACGAACAGTCTAGCTAGTCACAGCGGAGACACCAGGTGACGGGAACGGTGTGTGCGGTTGTAGCTGTACAAGCATGCCAGAGTGCTTGGTTTGTGCAGCAGCAATGCATGGTGTCATGTGTATCTCTAGATGTGGTCTGGTCCCAACCGTGGTGATGTGTACGCTGCTGAATCGTTGCGTTGTGTGTTAACACTGTGTGAAAGTAAAATGTGAGTGTGTTGGGAGTAGAGTATGGAGTAAGTGATGGTATGTCTAGTCTGTGGTTTGAGGCTCTTTCACGCAGTATATCCATTATAGCTTGATTGTGAGCTCGGGTGTCTGTTGTGGCGCTTGTCCGCATGTCCACGGTCCATGGAGAGATCGCTGGTCGCTCGCATACCACACACAATCTGCGCATGCTACTGTAGCTGGTGGTAGGGATGAGCGTGTGCAGTGTAACGTCAGTTTAGATTGCGGTGATGTGTTAAGTCTGGCGTTATCGAGACGTCCCTTGAGTGGAGTTATGGGTGCATACCAGTCCCATTCATTGCGTTCCCGATGTGCTCTGACATACTAGGCACTGAACAAACTACAACTCGGTAGCATTTTGAGTCACAGAACACAGTGAGTAATGTATGTCTAGATTCGTGTGTCATGCTAAGTCTACCACCTGCTTGTAACTTGAGCTCGTGATCAGTGCTGCAACAGTGTGGGTACTAATCGCCTGTTAGTCATCGGCGTACCTGAGTTTTTAAGTTATTTTGTGCATGCGCTGCTAATGTGCCGTGTGCTGCATAGATTGGCGACCTATGAGGCCGTGCGTGGTCAGTCACTCAGCCACGCAGTGCTTTGGCGTTGTTTTGATGCATTTTAGGGGTCAGGAGTGATCAGTGATCAATGACAGCTATGCAGTTTTATGCACTCCAGCTCACTTGAAACTCCTTTTCACACTTTGAACTCAGAAGAAAATACATCCATAGCTCTTGCCTAGTACTTACTTGACTCATTATTCCTCCTCTCCCTATGCCCTGCCTCCTTCACCGCCTGCCCGCCCTCCCTCCCTCCCTCGCGCTCCTCCCTCCTCACTCTCTCTCTCGTCTCCCTCCGCTCACTCTCACTCTCTCTCTCTCTCGCGTCGCTCCCTCTCCCACCTCCTCTCTTCTCCTTCGCTCCATTCTTGCGCTGTTCCGCTTTCAATCTTTACAGCGGGAGGTGTGGGAAAAGGTGCGCTAACTAGTCAACTAATATTCAGAAATCTGTGCGATAGTATGATATGACCCTACAATCGAGGACTCATATCGCAAACGTCGAGTTATACATACACCCATACTAGGACCATCGGTATATAGAGTGATTATGCGTGCAATGAAATCTCCACTGCTCATAAGACGGCTTACGAAGTTGTTAACCGTACCACTTTTGTATCCCCACAGATTCAATAATGGTTTATGTCACAGTGCTATTACGTCTGTAATGTGCTGTGACTTTGAAATCGTGCGCAGTTTCAGCATTCTGCATAACGCAACGTTATGTGCCTGCCGCCGATTGTGTAAATGTTGATGCCTGTTTTGTAGCAAACATCGCGGTCCTATAGGACAATGTTCGAGCATGCCACACTGCGCGACTATAGACTAGCAAATGTGCGTTTATTCCTATCTATGCACAGTTCTTCCAAACAATGTGAGACCCAAAATGCGATATAGATAGGCCCAGCCTAGCAGCATGCCTGGTTTACCTCACCGACCAGCGTGGACTATAGGTCAAATGTTCAGTGAGAAAGACTACTACGACATTGAAAGGAGGGTTTTTCTCATGGCACGCAAAACACTTTCATTGATTTGTACCACGCAAGACTACAGGAACGGGAATCCTTAATGAGCTCACACATGGCACACAGCAAGAACTGTGCATAGAGTCAAGGTCATAGTTTTCTATCGATGATGATCAGCATGCATTCTGAACGTGATGTACTATAACTTGACTCGACCAAACACATGCCAACAGATAGCCTATCATCGTGTTTTTTCAATTCTACTACACGTGTGACTAACACCTCTGTTTGCATTGGGCAGTTTTCGTTTCTGTTTTTCTTTGAAGTTTGCTATTAAAAGCAGAACGATTGGAGAAATTGGAGTCGGCCCGACATGCATCGAAATGATGTCGCATACGCGTGTGATCCAAACTCATGAGCAGTTCTTGACGACGCGGGTCAAATGTAAAATACTGCCCTGTTTGGATCACTCAAATATTCGCAGAAGACGCCTTAACTACTTCTTTGCAAAGCTCTTGGGTAAAACAGTTCCCCCCGGGAAGCATATTTTGTCAGGGAGTAATGAAGAGATAGAAGGGACGATGTTCTCCTGGTGCACATCGGTGCCAGCCTGCGTGTTCTGTCTAAGTATCACATTGTTCTGTGTTTTACGTGGTCCTTGCATCCCCTGGTCAGAGAGAAACTGCAAGTCGGTACAGTATTCAGGGGTAGTATCATATATACTAATACACAAGAGATAGAGGACTATGGTGTGCTGTTTAAATTAATTCCGATATGTTGTTGCATCCCTGATTAGGTGTGATAGACGGTGATGATCCGTGTCTCCTGGATATCCTGGACACGGCGGGCCAGCAGGAGTATACAGTGCCATGGAGGACCAGTACATGAGGACGGTCGAGGGTTTGCCCTCATAGTGTTTGCCATCGCAACATGAAGTTTTCGAGGACATCGACTCGTAACAGAGGCCAGATCAGACGAGTCAAGGATGCCGACGCATTCCTAGCGGTGAGTCTATGGGAGCTGTCGGTCCACCCTCTTTTTGTGTATTTCAGCTATGCCAGTGTGAGTGCGGTGTGGGTTTAATGGGGGCTGTCGTCCACCCCTCTTTTTGTGTTAGTTTCAGCTATGCCAGTGTGAGTGGGTGTGTGTTTAATGGGGGCTGTCGGTCCACCCCTCTTTTTGTGTTAGTTTCAGCTATGCCAGTGTGAGTGGGTGTGTGTTTAATGGGGGCTGTCGGTCCACCCCTCTTTTTGTGTTAGTTTCAGCTATGCCAGTGTGAGTGGGTGTGTGTTTAATGGGGGCTGTCGGTCCACCCCTCTTTTTGTGTTAGTTTCAGCTATGCCAGTGTGAGTGGGTGTGTGTTTAATGGGGGCTGTCGGTCCACCCCTCTTTTGTGTTAGTTTCAGCTATGCAGTGTGATGGGTGTGTTTAATGGGGGCTGTCGGTCCACCCCTCTTTTTGTGTTAGTTTCAGCTATGCCAGTGTGAGTGGGTGTGTGTTTAATGGGGGCTGTCGGTCCACCCCTCTTTTTGTGTTAGTTTCAGCTATGCCAGTGTGAGTGAGTGTGTGTTTAATGGAGGCTGTCGGTCCACCCCTCTTTTTGTGTTAGTTTCAGCTATGCCAGTGTGAGTGGGTGTGTGTTTAATGGGGGCTGTCGGTCCACCCCTTTTTAACCCTCTGCGCGCATGAGCAGCGAAGGTTACAGTACCGTGGTTTGTCTGTGTGTTATGTCAATACAGTGTGAGTGTGTGTATTTAATGGGGGCTGTTAGTCCACCTCTTTTTTGTATTACTATAACTTTCAGTGTCATATGTATTTGGACAAATGTATGAGTGTGTGTGTGTGTGTGTGTGTGACGTGCGCACGTCTTTGGGCTGCAAGTAATGTTAGAAATCTCTCTTCTGCTCTCTGTTCTTTTCCTCCTTCCCCACTCTGCTCTTCTCCCTCCCTCCTTCCCTCACCGCTCTCCTCCCTCCTTCCCTTCCTCCTCCCCCTCTCCTCTCCTCTCCTCTCTCCCTCCTCTCCTCCCTCCTTCCCTTCCTCCCTCTCTCCCTCCTCTCTCCCCCCTCTCCTCTCTCCTCCCTCCCTGCAGTGGTGGGAAACAAGATTGATCTCCCGCGAAGGGACGTCGACCAGAAGCTAGCGTCCACGTATGCAAAGACGCACAACATGCCATACATCGAGACTTCGGCAAAGACGAGACAGGGTGTAGACGACGCATTCTACAGTCTTGTCCGGGAGATCCGACGCTGGGTGAGCAGAGCAGAGCAATATATTATACAGTAACTGTGCATAATACTGTACACCTATGAAGGTTATAATGTCGGTCTTTCTCATAGAGTGCAACTATGAATAAAGGACACGTTGGGGGGCGTCTGAGGTGTCCCCTTTTCAGATGTAAACTTTTACACTAGAATGGACTAGACCATACTCGGGAATGGTGTCATAATTGGCGAGCGGGAGCTAGGCGTCTGCCTCCTCATAGAAGTGTGATGCTCTCATTTTCATGTACATACTGTACTGGGCATTAGGTAGTTCTGTTGCAGCGTCTACAGCACCATTTTGTAGTGGTGTGTGTTCTGTCACAGCTGCTAATGTAAAGATCCAAGTTGGTGGGATATGCCTTCAAGGGCTAGTCTTCATGTAAAGTTAGGGTGGGGGTGTGGGAGAGATGACGACTCGCTGTTGAACGTCGAGCATTTTCACTGCTGCTCCCGCTGGCACTTCAGGTCTACGAAAGACGGGTAGCACGGTACATGAATATATACCTGCAATAACTGGGTCTGGAGCCTCTTCCTGCAACATTTCTAGGACAGACGAATTGCAGTGTGATTTTGAATGCACTGTCAACCACTCAAGAGTCTGCGGTCTAAACTAGTCATTCTGCTTGTCAATACGTGAATTAGAAAGCCCCGGGCCCTTAGTCTTGGCTGCGCTCAGACGCCATAGCCCGGGGCGCCCTCAGCTTTGTAAATCACGTATTTTCATCGACTCGCACTACAACTGATGCCTCCTACGTTTGTAGGTGGCATTATTGGACATGTATGTTTTTGTAGCTAAATTTGTTTTGGTTACATTACTTTATATGCCATCTCGGTCAATATGTCGTTTGTGTTTTTTGCTGTGTGGACCTTAGTCAATGTTACCCTCCCCATCACACGTCTTACGTTACTACAGAAGGAGGTCAAGAATGACGACACAACACTAAAGAACAAAGGGAAAAAGAAGAAGTCAAAGTGCCGTCTACTCTAATTATCGCACCCTGCATTTAGCAGCTAATTTCATAATAGCCTCTACTCAACAATTTTAAAGATTCTTTTCCATCACAAATACGCACACTATGACGGGCATTTTGCCGTTCATAATGCATTTTGCTTTCGTTCTCTCACGTGTATTATCATTATTATTGTAACAACATTAGCAAGAATTTGTGTCCACCAAAGGATTATCGTGTTGTTGGTGTACTTGTTGATCAAGTTGTGTGCTAGGTTGCTTTTACTTTCTTTTTGTTTCGGAGTATGTATTTAGTGAAATTACTAATTCTGACACCGTAACGGTCGCCGTCTAAAGAAAGGTCAGTTAGCGACCCGCTCTTGAAAGAGGTATAATTCTGCGCAAATAATCGAAAATGAGTTACCGTATTTTCCGGAGTATAAGTCGCACCCATACTTTAGGTCTGTCATACGCGGATCCTTAACGCGCACATCCGCCACACCGCTCACGAGGGATCGCGTGCGGGGATGGAAGATCACAATGTAGAAGGAGAAATACGAGGGCATCATGTGTACAAGACCCCCTGGACACCAGTGATAGGTCAGATGTTTGATGCGTGAAATCGACGGTAATGCCCCCCCTTTTCTCGCATCCGCAGTATAAGTCACATGTCGAAAATTTCAAGCAAATTTCTTGATAAAAAGTGTGACTTATACTCCGGAAAATACGGTATGCGGAATGTGCAATGCACGCTGCACACTACCAGGCACTACTGAAGAGGCAGCCATAGTTACGTTTCGTTCGCGGTAAATATGCATCAGTAGATGCTGTATAATAGGGATTACCTGCCTTCATTTTGAAGAAAATAATGAGTTTCTTACGTTTGTGTAACGTCGTCCCTACGCCCACAGTTATAATTGCTCGGGGAGACGGCGCCTAGGACGCACGAGCGGCAAGTCTACGTGAGTTTTCTGAAAATCATCTCTTCTCATCAGAGCTCAAACTCAGCTCTCTCTCTCTGACTCGTTTCAATGCAAACCAATAAGGGGTAGTTACGTGTAGTTATGTAAGGGTCAGGGTTAGGCGTTACATACATACAGGGTTAGGCATTACATTCCAATTTAATAGTGGCCTAATTTTTGTAATTGCGTGTGACAGCCCAGGAATTAATAATTATATAGTTTCTGACTTGTATGGACCTATAATTATAGATGCCATAACCACTATGCCCAGCCCAGACACACATAAGTTATATATTATAGAGCACTGCAAACGGCATAAACAAGGTATTTTAATGCACCTGCAAAACTCATTATTATTCGTAGCATAAGCAATAATAATAGAGCATGGGGGGGAGTGTTGATTAGCTAAAGGTGTGTAGGTGTCTGTGTTTTGTGTGCTTGGGTGGGGGAGGTTTTTCTTTTCCTCTCTTTTAGCTAGTATGCTATAAACATGTTTTTTCATGTAAGGTTCGACTCAAAATCAATCATGATAGCTGAGTATATACAGGTGGGCATGTCCATACAAGTAGGCGTGTGAGATGATAATTGTCCACATGTGCATATATAACGATGTTGAAAGTGTAGGGGCTGGGTGACATGAGAGTCTCTAGCTAGCTTTGTTACATCTATATACTACATCAGAGGACTCATGGACATGCAGCTCTAGACCCTCCACAATAGATGACCTATTCAGCTGGCACAGGGATAAGGAGAGAACAATGAGTCCTCGATGGAGTCCTACCTTAGGTGGTTTGAGGTTAATTGGCTTGGTCTAATATTGTGTTGGACCAATACCAGCTGATTTGCCCTGGTATATACCTCAATTGGTAGAGCACAGCACTGTGTCCCTGGTTTAAATCCAACCTTCTTCTCTGCAAAAAGATGTCCTGAGTGACTGTTTGCTTTGCCTTTGCCTTCCTACCTCACCTTGTTGTTGACAGCCTGAGGACCTACAGGTTGTGCATTACTTTAACAACCCTTTGGACGCCATGGGTATCTGCTAAACAAGCAGAAATTGATGTATAAAGTATTAGCGCCTAGTATTATAACCCCCATATATACAAATTCTTATGGACTTACGAAGGCTCGACACATTTATGTGTCCGTGGCTGGTTAAGTGTTAATGTAGCATCTGCCATGCTATAGCTTCTTCATCAATGCTGCACTACATAATTACAATTGGGAAAAAATATATAAACAACATACATGACTGGATAGGATGACAGGAATGCAATATGATACTGACTGTAACAACCTTGCCAGTGTGTGATCACTGCATCACTAAAATGCTGAGAGCAATATGAAGCCAGAAAAATGAACATTATTTGGAAACGGAAGGCCACAACAATGTAATATCTGCACCTGCTAGTATTTTATTGGGTGAATGAAAACAGGACTATAAAATAGGATGATATGGAGCCTGAGATTATTATACTAGCATGTAGCTCCACCTATTCCAGGATTGTGATCATGCCTCACGTGTGCAAAATAGGCCACGTTGCTAGGAACATGTATGACAGAGTATCCAGATATACTCTCCATGGGCATGTGTATCCCAACATCCAACACCACCGAGGACTTGTACAGACTCTTATTGTCGGAGAGACGTTGCTGAGTCGCGGATCTTAACATCTTTGTTATGTTTCCGTCCGGGCTCACGTTGTCGCTGTCTAGACCGCAATCAGGGTAGCGCTCGATCCAGTGGAATCGACACGCTCCGTAATGACACCAGTTCCGGATGTAGTACTGGAACCGTGGCTGGCCGGGGACCCTCGGCATGAAGAAATCGTCCGTGTCACACATCATGATGTAGTCGTAGGTCCCCCGGTGTTTGTATACACAGTCCTCGTAGGCTAGCATCTGGGAGTGCCCGTGGTAGTTGTCCGTTGAATTCAGCCAAGGCTCCCAGAATTCAACGCTTAGGAACCCGTCCTGGATGTCTTGTCTGACGACGTCGTTTTGAAGGGTGCCCCTCTCAACGAAGGACGGGTGTGCGATGAAATGCACGTGGTCCACCCCAATTGTTCTTTGGTATTTGAGCCAGTGGTAGATCATGCTGTATACAGTGAGTCGGCGGTTATAGCTGGTGTACCTCGCAGTCGCAACACACACCAGCAGTTTTATGTCGTTTCCGCGTGAAATCCTAGGGGCAGGGAAGAACAAGGGACGCTCTGATTCCACACTGTACACTTTATGACCCTTGTGGCCACCTCGATTTGCCTTCTTCACAAAGATGAACGCCCTCGAGCCGTTCCTAGCCCGCGGCAGGTCGAAACAGTCCACCATTACCAGGTCGTGATTCACGTAGTCGTGCTTCCAGTGGACGTACACTTCAATCAGAGCCAACCGTCTAACCTGAAAAAACTCCGCAACACCTCTTCCTACCTGACAGCCCACGATGAGACCTTGGTCCACAATCTCTCTTCTTGCCTCAACCATGAACACCGAGGCGTTGACGTGTCCGCTACGAGGCCGGTCGTCGAAGTACACGGACCTCACTACGACGTCTTTGGAAAGGAGTGGCAGGACGGTTCTAGTATCGTATCCAGTCACGTCGTCCCACGATACGGGACCGCAGCCCCTCCCGTGGCACTGCAGGTAGTAGAGCCCGCAGGACACCAGCCCGAGGACGCACACGGAGGCCAGGATCAGCACCCGCCGACCCCTCGGGAACGGACGCTGGGAAACGGCTCGAGCCATCACTCTCGTCATGGACAGCTTTTCCTAGTTCGCAATTTCGCCCGTCCACTGGCACTCAAAAGCGTGAGGTTGGCCCCCGTGCTATCTTTCACCGCCAGCAACACTCACAGTGCAGTGTACACATGGCCTCATCCCGACAGCAGCAGCAAGATGATCCCAGCGGGTTACATGATCAACCTGACTGTCAAAACTCTGGATCGATATGCATGCAGCAGAGAGGGGGCGCGGCGGCATGTATTTTGCGCATGCACACTTTCGGACAGCAGCAGAAATAGAAGGCAACGTGGGATGCACCAAAAACATGACCAAAATCAGAATCAGTTTATTCCAAATAAGAAAAACAAATAAGGGGGTGATATTTTGCTGTCAAGCGTCAATTGTCTCTTATCACTGTTGCTTGGGAACGTACTTGGCCAGGTTATCTAGAGCGATGATCTTGAGTGCTGAGTCAGCATCCAATTTCACGATGCCGTCCCCTTCGTCGATGTTGATTAGAGCTCCAATTAGACCTTTGTTGGGGCCTGTTATGCCCTTCACCTGTTGAGCACAGAAATCATTGAAAAATAGCTCTCACTGGCAATACCTAAACCATTCATTTCCCCATAATGACTGACATGCAAATTTATGATATGGCAGTTTACTTTTCCTTAAAAAATCCTCAAAAGCAAACAATAATTATGCACTGTTGTGTGCTTCTGAAGGACACCCCTGAAATTAGAACACCTCTTTTTTCTCACACCAAAATGAATATCCCACTAAAAGGTAGTCTCCGGATTTGGGGATTTCATTTCACCGATGTAAGAATACATTAAAGTAGAGTAGAAGCCAAACCCTGTGCACACTTAGAACCACCGACATTATTAAATTTAACTTTGTGAGTGTGCATAACACATAAGGTTATTACTGTTCATAATCATAATATCATACAAACCTTGTCCAGTTTCTTGGGAGCAGTTGGCTCCAGATATCGTGTGGGAATGTCGACCTCGTGACCGGTGTCGTAGAGATAGACGCTGGCCATCTTCCCAGCAATAGCCCTCACCACACCTGTCTTATTCGCATGTGGACTCTCCTGCACGGTGCAAAAGACAAGACAAGTGCATATCATAATGCAGTCGAACGTCCGATAACAGACCGAAGCGGACAACCTCCCTACAGTGGACACTATCCGTGTTACTGATTGAAATTACCATAGTTGCAATACTTAACAACCTCAGAGTAGCAGACGCTTCCCAACTCCGGACAGCGGACAAAATCTGTGCTCCAATATTATGGGTGAACCTCCGAGATAGGGACAATCTCCGAAGAAAGGATAAAAGCCCCATTCCCACAAAGTGTCCCCCGTTCAAAGGTTCGACTGTTAACAATTCAATCACACGCAGGACAACACGAAATAAGAGCTGCCCTTTAGGTGTCTATAGAACCCACAAACTCTGCTGTTCCCTAGACAAGTGCTCTGCATACATGCCATCCAGAGGGAACTGCATGCTACGAAACATGAAGCCCTAAAAGAGTGCACGTCGTACGTACATTAGACCAGCGAACAACAGTTGGTGCATTGGTGAGCGAATGTGAGTGGAAACCTGCAGCTGTTCACAGTTACCTAGAGTTACGTAAAGCATTAAGGTATGGGTGGTAAAATCCAGCAATTCAGACGAATACATGTACGCTCATTTAGCTCATGTTGCATGACATTCTGGCACTTTTGGACATTTTTTACACAATGGCATTACCTCTAACGTTTTAAAGGTTACTTAAAGGGAATGTGGCAGTATACATGTATAAGGGCTAAATTAAGACATGCTACAATAGGGACACAGTGAAAGAATGCAATTAAGTTCCAACGTTTCTAAATTTAGCCCTTATATACTGCCACATTCCCTAAAATTAATGTAGTTGGGACCACTCCAAACACACGCCTAATACAAGGACACGTTTTTCTCGCCCCACTGAGCGTGAAAACAAAACGGCATCAAATCCCAAAGCTCTGGTGTCAGACACTTTCAACCCTTTTTCATGTGACGCAGGACACTTGATTTGCTGCATGTTAATAAACTCACAAAATTGTCTTTCACGAGCACTTCAATATCAGTTGGTAGCAGCCCTGCAGTCCCTGAAATGGAAAAATCGACTAAATATATCACCAATTTCTTACGGGGACTATAATATTGAACACACAACACATTCTTCACACGTATCTTGACCACAGCACAGGACAGGCTGTGTGCCAATTGGCTCCTTCTCAAAAACAATGGTTTGGTGGAGTAAACTTTCATCTCATCCTAAAACTAAGCATACGGGCTAAAATGTAGGTACTTTGGGTATATAATGCAGACCAAGGCCAACAGAAATAGGATATTTACATGTGCATTGAGCTCACCTCCCTCCATAGGCGAGCCAGGGGTTCTGGGACTGAAGTCCATACTGCCAGGCGTGAGGGGACTGATGGCAGGTGAAGGGGTCATGTAGTCAGAGTGGTACATGGGAGTCCTGGCGTTGTACTGGCCGGAAGAATACGTGCTTCCCTGCGGGGACTCGGGCATGCCCACCGGGCTGGGCGTGGCCGGGTTGTCGTAGCTGGCTCCGCCCGGTGTTGCCGGGTTAGTGTAGCTCTGGGGAGGGAGGAGATGTGTGTGTGTGTGAGTGTGTGGTGGGGGAGGGGGGAGGGAGGGGGGAGAAAGAGGAGACAGAACAGGGGAGAGCGAGAGAGTAAAACAGGAGAAAGAGAGAGGGAGGGAGGGAGGGAAGAAGGGGATGAGGTATTTAAGCTTCACAAGTGTAGCTGCAATTAAACATTGGCAACATTTAAATGGCTATACGGTTGGTATTGCAACCATTCATGAGTGAAATCCGCATACGATGTACAGCATATGTGGTAGTAGGAATCATACGTGAGACATGTACCGCACTATATGTGGTAGTAGGAATCATACGTGAGACATGTACAGCACTATGTGGTAGTAGGAATCATACGTGAGACATGTACAGCATATGTGGTAGTAGGAATCATACGTGAGACATGTACAGCACTATATGTGGTAGTAGGAATCATACGTGAGACATGTACAGCACTATGTGGTAGTAGGAATCATACGTGAGACATGTACAGCACTATATGTGGTAGTAGGAATCATACGTGAGACATGTACAGCACTATGTGGTAGTAGGAATCATAAGTGAGACATGTACAGCACTATGTGGTAGTAGGAATCATACGTGAGACATGTACAGCACTATGTGGTAGTAGGAATCATACGTGAGACATGTACAGCACTATGTGGTAGTAGGAATCATACGTGAGACATGTACAGCACTATGTGGTAGTAGGAATCATACGTGAGACGTGACAAGCAAGACCAAGTGCAAAGCTCAAAAAGGTTCAACACTAGGCCCATAATGATCTCAGTGCACGTTGTGTTGTGGTTGGACTCACGGCAGGTGAAGGTGTGGAGCCACTCTCTCCATACGGAAAGCCCCAGTCATCTGGTCTGAGAACACAAGGTTAATATCACGTTGAGATCACATTTACCCACCATCGCCCTCTTTGGTCACTGTTTTGTTGGGGTTTGAGTATCCCACCATAAGAGCCAAGGACTATGTGCAAAGTACAATTTGTCGCGGCAAAACGGAAATACCTGGGCATAATCGACGTTTCGAATACTGGCACGGATTCCACTCCATCTTATTGACTAGTGATGACTACACACCCTTTACAGCGTATTACTCTTCTCAACAAAGGATATACAGGTAGAGGTAAAGCATTGCCGACCAGTAACTATATAATGAAAAGCACTAAAGTGCAAACCCTCGGCGAACTGGGGATGCGCGGTACCGCTAATTGATGGGCTGGGCTGCTATTACTCGTGGTCTCCCGCTAGTAGCTCGCAGAGAGTCTGACACGGGCTAGTAGATAGTATGCGAGAGTCGATACACGTCCTTCGTCCTGACTTCTTGTGCCTTCAAGATACACAGAGCAAGCGGACCCGGTCGAGGTTTAAAGCCTGTTGAAAATATAAGCGCATGCGCGTTTTCCGCAGCGATAAAAATGGCCAACTACGCATTAGCCGTACAATGGTGGAAGCGCTCTAGCTCTGCAACGGAGCATTTTCTGAGAAAACCGCCTTTATTTTCTGACCTTCGTCGCCCGTTGGGTAGATGGTATCGTTTCTGGGACGAACAGACGTTCGAGGAGTGAGATGTAGAGTAACAGACAAACAGACAGACCCAACTACTGTACCCTCGCTGCGCCCGAGGGTAACTAGACCCCCTCCCCTAACAAAGGAAGAGGTAGAGGTACAGAGAGGTGACAACTAGACCCCTCCTAACAAAGGAAGAGATAGAGGTACAGACAGGTGACAACTAGACCCCTCCTAACAAAGGAAGAGGTAGAGGTACAGACAGGTGACAACTAGACCCCTCCTAACAAAGGAAGAGGTAGAGGTACAGACAGGTGACAACTAGACCCCTCCCCTAACAAAGGAAGAGGTAGAGGTACAGAGAGGTGACAACTAGACCCCTCCACTAACAAAGGAAGAGGTAGAGGTACAGACAGGTGACAACTAGACCCCCTCCTAACAAAGGAAGAGGTAGAGGTACAGAGAGGTGACAACTAGACCCCTCCCCTAACAAAGGAAGAGGTAGAGGTACAGAGAGGTGACAACTAGACCCTCCACTAACAAAGGAAGAGGTAGAGGTACAGACAGGTGACAACTAGACCCCTCCCCTAACAAAGGAAGAGGTAGAGGTACAGACAGGTGACAACTAGACCCCTCCCCTAACAAAGGAAGAGGTAGGTACAGAGAGGTGACAACTAGACCCCTCTGCTAACAAAGGAAGAGGTAGAGGTACAGACAGGTGACAACTAGACCCTCCACTAACAAAGGAAGAGGTAGAGGTGACAACTAGACCCCCTCAACTAACACAAGAAGTGGAGAAGTAAGTATTCCTGACCGGTGAGGTGTGTTGGCGACACTGGGATCCCATGCACTGCTGCCATGCAGTGGAGTCTGTGACGGATCATGTGACGGGGTCATGTAGCCATAGCTCGGGGTACGACCACCTGCACGAATGACACACACGGTGGATATCACAATGGTACACCATGGAAGAACACTGCACAGTTAGGTACAGTGGAACCTCCGATAAGTGACCCTCCGAGATAGGGATCGGCCTCTCTACAAAGAACACTTGTTTCAAATCCATGCTAATACTTTAGTGTAATATTGACCTCTGAGATAGGGATGTCTCACAAAATCGTTGGCCCCATAGTGTCCCCTGTTCAGAGGTTCCACTGTATATAGCTGGAAAGTACTCACACATTAATTACGAGCCCCAAATATAAAAAATTTTGCTAAAGAATTCAAAATCAACACCCCGCCATATGAAACAGCGACTACTGAACAGCAAGCGTAATCGTCATCAGCTGCTGCAGAATGGCAAAGTAAAGCTTGTCTCATTGTGAAAGTGACTAAAGTTTTTTTTTCTGTTTTCACTTATTTTACACCAGAGAGCCAAAGTGTTTTTAGTCATAACTGACCGTGACAACTAGACCCCCTTCTAGCCAGTTCTTAGTGACTAATTTCAGTTCATTTGGAATGTAGTTTACACCAGAGAGCCAAAGTGTTTTAGTCATAACTGACCGTGACAACTAGACCCCCTTCTAGCCAGTTCTTAGTGACTAATTTCAGTTCAATTTGGAATGTAGTTTACACCAGAGAGCCAAATTTTCTTTAGTCATAAGGCGGTAGTGTTTTGGGTCACACATGACAGCTAGAATAACTTGTAGCCCTTTCTTAGATGCCTTTCACAGTCAAAAGAGTGTACATTGCACACAGAGAGGGCCGGAGGTCTCAATGGTAAGAACAAAGCCACACCACCCTCAATGGATGTCTTACAATACCTGGCAACTTGCATAAACACCTGTACATTGTATGTGAAAACCAGCAGAACTAAAAAATCAACTACACCCAGGACAGCCCTTTTATTCCAAGGAATAAAGAAGAGCTGCCCAGCTGGGTGGGATTCGAACCCACGACACTAGCTGGTAGGGGTTCACAGTACAAATAAAATCCTCAAACCACTGTGCTATGACACAGTATACTCTCACTCGGAATGTAGGAGCAGACCGGGGTATGTAAGCGTAAAGTGCCGTGAGAAGGAGCCGACTCCTTTTGTATCCGTTAAACTCTTTGAAGCTAACTTGCATTTCCCATAAACTTTACTGGTGTGTAATTTGCCCCCAAATGCTGTTCACACCACAACCATTTGAAACCTTTTCTCTAGGATCTTGGAGGAACAATGTGCAATTTCAAGCTGTGTGCTCGATCTGTTTTCATCCAACATTCACACCATTATAGTATCGCATGCAGGAGCAGTAGCAGAATAGCATAGGGTTTGGATTTAAGGCTGGCTGAATGGCAACGTAAAGGCTCCACGAATAAGCTACCAAATTTAACACGGGTGAGACGCATGTTCTAGCTCGCCCAGTGTTCTAGGTGCATGCTATGGCTGCTATTGAAGACAGTGAAGACGAGCCCCAACTAAAGAATTCAAAATCAACACCCCGCCATACGAAACAGCAACTACTGAACAGCAAGCGTGATCACCATCAGCTGCTGCAGAATGGCAAAAGTACAGCTTGTCTCATCGTAACTATGAAAGTGACAAGTTTTTTTGGTCAGTTTTCACTTATTTTACACCAGAGAGCCAAAGTCATAAGGCGGGGGTAGTCCACCCATGCTCTAATGTTCAAATTTGACACTCTGGTGTGATAGTTTCGTCCAGTGTGATGTGCATGGATTGCAAATGGCTGTAGTTCCACGGCTGCTATTGAAGACATTGCTTTCCTTGACCACGTCCAACGTTCAGTTCATGCAACCAAATCCCTAGCTAATGTGCCATTGATTTCATGCAACCAAATCCCTAGCTAATGTGCCATTGATTTCATGCAACCAAATCCCGTAATGTGCCATTGATTTCATGCAACCAAATCCCTAGCTAATGTGCCATTGATTTCATGCAACCAAATCCCTAGCTAATGTGCCATTGATTTCATGCAACCAAATCCCTAGGTAATGTGCCATTGATTTCATGCAACCAAATCCCTAGCTAATGTGCCATTGATTTCATGCAACCAAATCCCTAGGTAATGTGCCATTGATTTCATGCAACCAAATCCCTAGGTAATGTGCCACTGATTTCATGCAACCAAATCCCTAGGTAATGTGCCATTGATTTCAAGTCAACCAAATCCCTAGCTAATGTGCCATTGATTTCATGCAACCAAATCCCTAGCTAATGTGCCATTGATTTCATGCAACCAAATCCCTAGCTAATGTGCCATTATTGATTGCCATAACTCACCATCTCCGTGCATGGGTGTAAGAGAGCCGTACATCGGTGTCCTCCCCCCCGGTCCTCCGTGCATGGGGGTCATACTGCCGTAGGATGGAGTCATGCTGCCCACCATGGGAGTCTGGGAACCAAACGCTGGTGTACGGCCCCAGGTCGATGTCATTCCACCCCTGTCCTGACCCCTGGAGGTGTGTGTGGGTAAGGGGGGGAGTAATTAAGAGGACTGTTTTAATTTTTGAGAGAAAACATTTCTCTATATAACCCACTCCCCCACATATCCATGCAATTAGACTTGTGATACACATTTCTAAGATCTTCTCAAGACACTATTATAAAGGGCCACTGAATGGGGCAAAGGGGGCGAGTTACACACACATACAGTTTTTTTTATATAGTCTACTGTTATATAGTATTGTTCATACTGTATGTCATGTGTATGATGTATGTATGAACAGTGATCGAGAAACAAAAAGGTCAAAAAAGTTTGAAGGATTGACCATATCACTTTCCCAAAATATTTTTTTTTTAAAGGAGGAGGACAGTAGACTCACGTTACACTCTGTAGTCGAGACCGGTCAACGGAGATGGTGTTGCAGCTGGTGTGCAGCTCCACGCGCGCCGTGGACTCTGTCGCGTCCTTGACGATACCGACGTACCCCTTGTAAGGTCCCATCACTATCCTCACAGTATTGCCGATGATGGAGGTGTCCCTCCCTCCTCTTCCCCTCCCCCTCCCTCTCCCCCTCCCTCCTCCTCCTCCTCCACCACCACCTACAGTGGATAGTTCTCTTAAGTAAGTAGACGCTACTGAAGTTACAGAGGCTACAATTTCTCTAAAACAGACATGTTCTAGTAGTGTTTAGTTCAGTTAGTCTCCAAGCCCAACGACAATGCTGTACATAGCTGTAGTAGGATGCATACCTGGTCTTGAATTGTGTACGTACTTCTATTCACGTAATGTTGCATCCAACGTAGCCGCCCTTACTGTAGTTTTCCACATACGTGATTCTAAATGCACACATGCACGTAACCCAAACTATGCAATCGTTGCTGCATGGGCAAGCAACTCTCGTGTTTGTTCGCCAGTTCGAAGTAGCAGAAGATGCAACAAGTATGATAGTAGTGGCAGAAGATGCAACAAGTATGGTAGTAGTGGCAGAAGATGCAACAAGTATGGTAGTAGTAGCAGAAGATGCAACAAGTACGGTAGTAGTGGCAGAAGATGCAACAAGTACGGTAGTAGTGGCAGAAGATGCAACAAGTACGGTAGTAGTGGCAGAAGATGCAACAAGTATGGTAGTAGTGGCAGAAGATGCAACAAGTATGGTAGTAGTGGCAGAAGATGCAACAAGTATGGTAGTAGTGGCAGAAGATGCAACAAGTATGGTAGTAGTGGCAGAAGATGCAACAAGTAGGTAGTAGTGGCAGAAGATGCAACAAGTATGGTAGTAGTGGCAGAAGATGCAACAAGTATGGTAGTAGTGGCAGAAGATGCAACAAGTATGGTAGTAGTGGCAGAAGATGCAACAAGTATGGTAGTAGTGGCAGAAGATGCAACAAGTACGGTAGTAGTGGCAGAAGATGCAACAAGTATGGTAGTAGTGGCAGAAGATGCAACAAGTATGGTAGTAGTGGCAGAAGATGCAACAAGTATGGTAGTAGTGGCAGAAGATGCAACAAGTACGGTAGTAGTGGCAGAAGATGCAACAAGTACGGTAGTAGTGGCAGAAGATGCAACAAGTACGGTAGTAGTGGCAGAAGATGTAACAAGTACGGTAGTAGTGGCAGAAGATGCAACAAGTATGGTAGTAGTGGCAGAAGATGCAACAAGTACAGGTAGTAGCAGAAGATGCAACAAGTACGGTAGTAATAGCAGAAGATGATATTGATACAGTACCTGGTCCTCTGTGAGGAGCTGGACTGGAGAGCCGTGGACTCTGAGGCATAAACCCAGTACTGATGGAAGACGCCTGAAACAAAGATGAGAACCATTGATCAACGCATGTAGCATGCAGTAATTTCTCGTTAGAATAACCAAAATGCCTGTGTGTACGCTATTCTTGGGTTTGATGTTCACGTAATCTTTCATATTGGCAAAGCTCAGAGCTAGCTAGTGTGAGTGAGAGACAACAGTTATGCAATTTGTCCCTGTAAACAAGGACCCAGGTGAGAGTAACCAGCTACTGCCTGGGTCAACTTGTGCCCAAATAGTATACGGCATGGCTGGTGCCTCCAGCCAGCTCCAAAGTGACAGTACTAGCCACTTTCTGGGTTAACTTGTGCCCCCATACAAATAACCAATTAGGAAAAAGCCCTGGAGAGAGTCAGGGACAACTCATGGCATGGCTGGTGCCTCCAGCCAGGCTCCAACTACCCACTTTCTGGGTTAACTTGTGCCCCCATACAATTAGGAAAAAGCCCTGGAGAGAGTCAGACAACTCACGGCATGGCTGGTGCCTCCAGCCAGCTCCACGTGCTTGGCCTTGGCCACCACGATCCCTCCGTTCTCCACCTGATCTCTGACTATGAGGAATACGTTTCCTCTGAACACGTGCTTTATCTCTCCCTGCTTGTGCTGTGAAGGAGGGAGAGGAAGGAGGTCAATAGGAACAGGAAAGAGTGGGTGTATATACATACCGATAGAAAAAAGCCTCAATCACGTACAATAAGACTTACAATGTGCGGTCCCTGAATAACTTTGACCACATCACGTGACGTAATCTCATTCTGTCAAAAAGAGGTCAGAAACATATTCATAGGCCAAAGTAAGAGTTTGTGTGTGTGTGTGTGTGTATTGGGGGAGGGCATAAAATTTATCTCTAAATTGTAAGTGGGAAACAGTGGGCTAAAGTGCCTCTCACTACAATCTTCACCTGGCGACTGTCTAAAGCAACTCCTCTGGACTTGCGGAGCTGCAGGGCGTGTGGTTTGGCGTTCACCTCCTTCCCGTGTTGAGTGAGGACTTTGAACGCTTCCTTCTCCAGCCTCACTATCACACCTACCGTCTGTGGGCTGATGGATGCAAGACATACTACAACAGTCACTTATTTCCCAACCCCCCCCCTTCTCTCTCTCTCATTCCTACTTCTTTACTGGTACACTCCTTCTGAAAGCTTGCTGGCTCCCTCCATTATGTTCCCTCCCTCTCACTAAGGTGTGCTTCCTCCTTCCCCTCCCTCCTCGCCTCCCTCCCCACCCTTACCTCCCCCCTCTCTAAAACTCACTCTACCTGGACAATGCCTCCTCTCCTTACACAATGCAACATTGTTGCTTGAGACAAAAGTTGCATGCAACTTCAAATGTATGGGTATGATGGTCATCATGCAACATGTTGCACGCACTTCTGATACCAATACATTTGAAGTTACAACTCACTCCAGTTGGACCATGCCTCCCTCCCGCCCCCTCCCTCACTCCAGTTTGACCACGCCTCCCTCCCTCCCTCCCTCACTCACTCCAGTTGGACCATGTCTCCCAGTTGGTACTGGGCCAGAGGCATCAAACACCACTGCTGGTCTCCAGACACAACTGCAGGTCCTGTGGCCTCACTTTCAGCTTGCACATAAAGTACGTACGTACATACATCATGTACAGCAACAAGCAACTTTTGTTGTGTGCGACAAAAGTCTAGCAAAAGTTCAATGTACTGATATGATGGGACTATGCAATATTATGCAATAGACAACACTTTCATTTTCATTCATGGACTATCGTATCATACCTACACATTGAAGTAACATGTGTGTGTTGGGGTGGGGGAGGTTCTTTCTTTCCTCTGATATTATTCTTTTAGCTAGTATGCTATAAACATGTTTTTCATGACTTTTTCTAGGAACCTGCACATGTTATGTATGTATGGTGGCTTGAGGGTCAATGTAAATATCCATACGGCAGACCTGTAAACTTACACCTACAATGCAACTGACTTGCTTTTACATCTGTACATACATGTACCTCATGCAACTCTATACAGTCCCATGATGCGCACAAAAAAAAGTTTGCACTATCCACATTTATCACATGTTGCAGCATGATACGGTTAGTACGTGGATGTTGTTACCTCGTGCATGGTGAGGTCTGAGAACAGGGAATGGCGAGGTATGTGCTCGATCCGGACAACCAGCCCCGTCTCTCCCTCGTAGCGACTGCAACACCTCACGTGATCTCCCTCCTTGAATGCCTCCGCAGCTCCTAGCCTGGAACGCCAGCAGGTCTGCACACACACACACATACACACATACACACACACATAGAGTAACAACAGCAGTTATGGAAAACCAGCTTACTCCTCAGCATGCAATGAAAAGCACTAAAGTGCAAACCCTCGTGGCCAACGGGCATGTCTTGGTACCTCTACCATGGAACTCTTCTCAAGAGAGCTACCTAGGTTGTTCCGACCCGGGCTCTTGGGCAGGGTTGTCTAATTGATGTGGCCTGGGCCGCATATGATGCGTGTTTACTTCTTCTGTGACTCCCGCCGCTATTAGCGCAGGAATCTGCGCGGAGAGTCTGACACTGGCTATCTACAGGATTAATAGCTATGGCCTTGAGTCGCAATACAGACGCCCTTTGTCTTGTGGCGTCCTTCTGTTTGCAACTTCCAATTACACAATGCAAGACCCAGTGTCCTACTTATTCACTTAGTTGGCCTTGTATTCACGTGTGATCCACCTATCGACGATCCTTCGGTTGTGCAAAACCACATGCCATAACAGCTTTCTGAAACCGCGGCCACCACCTTACGAACGATCGGCCTCATTTTGATAAATTGAAGCCAGTGTGTACGCTGCTTGAACCTTGGTGTCGTTTTTGCACTTACAAATCTACATTGTATAGGTTATACACCTGTTTTGTTGCTGCCGTGGTTCGCAAATAGGCTGGTCCACAGACTCTTACGACCGCAAAGTCCAGAACGCCTTACGTGTATAACCCCTTGGCTGCGACTCATGTAGACTTGACGCAACTCTACAGGGTTTGTTAACTACAGTCTCCTGGATGATTTCCGTTATTCAACGGATAATGATCGCAGTCCTAAGTTAATTTGTTGACCATCATAGCGTGACCTTAGTGTTCTATTAGATATATCACGGTCATGGGAGGTTGTGCTTTAACCCACAACGTGACACATTGCCTT